CTGTATTTGTGTTCAGTTTTCCTGTCTGTTAAATTCTGACAAACGAAAAGCGCGGCTTCAGCTCTTGACGGCTGTGAGTGTCCTAGCAAATAATGTCAGCGTAAGTGATTTTTCAGAGAAAAAGTACAGACAATAAAGTGTCTTCTTTTCTCTCAACAACCCTTGTGGTGTTAAATGTTTTGTAGTACAGTAGACAGATTTGATAGGCTACTTGTTAGCTGCCACAAACAAGGATATGACTGACTGGCTAAGCAATAAGATTGGTACACTGGTAGAGGTACAACACGATGTATTGAGTCTTGTGTTTGTGAAGCCTTTATTTCGATTTTCCAAAAAGTGGATCCGTATTGAAAGTTGGCAAGATATTTACAGATTTGGACTTTTTTCCGGTATTTTACAAATACGGACCGGTGAGCAGCTTTTTCTTCATTTAAAAGAAAAGTGAATCTGTTTAATCCTTTTTTACATAGGCTACCTCCATATTGTGTTGAAATGCAAGCTGCATTGGTTCTTGCATTGTCGATAGAAAATCATATTTGTGACAAAGACTTTTTTTCTCTCATAAAAAATTTGAGAAGGTAATTCATCTGTTGATTTTCTTTAATTATCAAATAAAGTAGGAGGTGATTAGCAACCTCTGAGTAGCAAACTCAGATTTGAGAAAATTTAGAAACTCAAGATACATCGCTAATCGTTTTATCAGTTTAGAATCGATAATCGGTTTAGAATCGAATCGTTGACCTCTGAATCGGAATCGAATCGAATCGTGAGGTGAGAGAGATTCCCACCCCTACTTGTAACCCTCACAGATGCAGCCAGAATAAAGGGTTGAGTAGAAATAAAATCCACACAGAATAAAGGGTTGCATTAATCATTTTCGACACTTTTTCCAGCGTTGTTTCGTTAGCATTATCATTAATCATGCAACCCTGTAGAGCTTTAGCAATAAAGATAAAAGTATTGTTTTGATACCAACATCGTCAGGGTGAGATGTCAACACAACGATTGCAATTGTAGTGATGATAACACTACATCACATAGTCGTGGGAGTCAGGACCTATTTTCTGACAGTGTGTTTGATGGCATTGACCTGGTGGGTGTTTTTTGCACACAGGAGGGGTTGTTAAGTTAAATTTATTACACTAAAAGGTTTTTTTTATGGCTATTGTTACATATGGTAAGAGTGGTTGTCTCTTAGATTTAAGTATAAGGACTTGAGTAAAAATAAAAATGATGGCTATTTGGTTTGCCTTAATGTGAAACACGGTAATAGATAACTGCTTCTTTGGTTTGATTATATTGGCAAAAGCTGGATATTAGCTGGGAAGTATCAAACCATAACAATGATGGCTGGCCAGCAGTCAAACTGAGCTCCATCCGACATGAGGACTTTGCAAAGCTTATCACTCTTACCTTCATGGCCAATTACCCCCGCGACAAAGTCAAAAACAATCCAGGTAATGGATCGTATTCACATTTAGCAGTGCAGCATCAACGGTGACGGTCGACTGTCACCGTTGATGCTGGCGGACCCGACACCACTCGCTGGGTCCGACCAGCCGGTTTGCGTCTGTCAAGTGTCGCAAATTATGAATCCCAAGCAGTAAAAGTTTTGTTGGTGTTTTGTTGAAAGTTTCTTTCCCCTATTTGGAAGTCAACAAACCAGTTTAATTTGCCACAGGACTGTGTCCAATTACAGTGTGACTCAAGCTGCAGTTTAAAAGGTTGCACATGTTTGCAACTATAAATGAGCAGCATTATTACAATCAACTTGCCAGGCGGCTGCAGAATGAGATCGACATAAGTCTTCGTAGATATGTTGACATTGTAGTTCCAGGTAAGAGTTACCATTGATGTAAGTAAGACAATTCAGAAAACTAAGATTAACACTCACTAACTTTTAAAGGTACTCAAATGACTCAAATTACATAATATTTAGAAAAGCAGACAGGACTGCTGGAACAGTTGCTTGTTTATTTTAACAAAGCTGTACAACTGGCAATTACTGTACGAAATTATACCTGCTCAATTTAGCTTTGTCTGAAAGAAAGAACATCTAAAGTGTTTTGTTGCAAACGAGGATTTAGTTAGTGGCATGATAAGTGTATATGTACTACGGATATCACCTTTCCGTGTCCCCAACCCACACAGAAATGGACACACCCACTCATTCCTTCTCTAACCCCCAGCAGATGCTCATTGCACATCTGCCTTCCACAAAACACCACCCGCACAAGTGCTTGTTCTGTCATAGCGGTGCTTTATTAACATGAAATCGTCCTACTCTTGAGTGGGTGGGTAACTGTGAAATGACTCACAGAATAAATAATACCAACAATAATTAGGGAGGCATTGTTGATGTTCTTTCAACTTAACGACGTGGAAGTGCAGTAGTAAATCCCTAAATATCATCTGGAGTGTCAAACACTATCTCTCTATGTAAATAACACATCCGTTCTCGTCTAACTATTTTCCACAGCAGAGAAGGAGTGCAGGCTGAAGTCCTCCAATAACAGGTGGCTCTTTCACACATGGTTTAGGTAGAAAAAACACTTGAAATAAGTGATTTAAATGTTTTGCTTTACAGCTGTTCTTGCTCATGAGGATGCCTAAAGTTTCTTGACAAAAAAACATGACTTGAAAGTAGCAATTGAGTTTATGATATATATAATGCACTCATGCACACATTGCTATTTTAAAAGTCAAAAGCAAGATCATTTTCCCATACAACTATACATAATCAATGTCCACTTACTTGCCATAAAAGAACAATTTTGTGTGGCCCTGAACATTAAATAAAACGTTTTATATGTGCATAAGCATCCTACGTGTAGATATAAATATATATTTGTGTGTGTATCATGTGGGTGTTTTGAATGATTTCAGTACTTGTTCTGTGCACTGAACACCTTTAGGTCACAACAGCCGTTTGCTGAACAGGCTGGCTGGTTTCCATTTAGATTATGGATGGTTATTACTGCCTCACAGCTGTCATTCAGATCAAACCCATATGTTTAACCGAGAGAACCTGCTCCTGGGAATGAGAAGGGGTCATTTAAATAAGCCATCTCCAGAACCCTCCCTTTTTACACGTGTATTAATGAAGCCTCGAGGTGCATCAATTTGCCAAATGTTTTGGTGTCCAAAATAAAACGTCTCTGTCTGACATCTGTCTGACTATTTTACTTGACACATGAGTCACGTGTGTGTCCATCTCTGAGAGACTAGACGACAATGGATGATGAGTGCTTTTCCTTTCCATTGGAAATAACAAGTGATAATAAGTGAAGGTAGTGTTTTGACTCATCCAAGGAAATATCACAAATTGAATCCAAACATTTAGACAATTTACCCAAGAAATGTACAATTTAAGCTCGGTATTCCACGCACTATTACGATCCACCACATGAACACATGAAGCCCTTTTACGCGTCAATATTTTCTCAGTGTGGGTTTGAATAGTTGCCAATGCTTCTTCCTTTGTCTTTTTTGTGTGCACTCATACGGAGTGTGTGTCTGTGGGCTTGCATATGTGCGCCAGTTGACCTCGATGGGAACACAGGGGAGGAAATGGCAGAAAGAAAGCGGCTCTGAGTGAAGCATGCAATGTGCTTGGTTTTGGGATTTACATTGGTAAAAACACAAAGGGGAACATCTACTGCCAGGCACATGAGGGGTTTGGAAAGTGCTTGGCTGTGGCTCTTTAAGACTTGAATGTGAGCTTTCGCTCACAGTTAAAGAAGCGTTGAAGTGTTGCAGTTCACTCTTTAATTATGTCTGTTTATCAAAGTGTTGTTGAAGTGAGTCTATTTTAACCCTCAGTTTGCAGCTGCTGGGCGAAGATGCATCGCTACTCTCGGAGCCGCAATCATTTGTTCCAGAAGTCCCTTGCGTTTTAAATGCCGTCAGCTTGTTCGACACTTAGTAGATACACAGAATAAAGACCCCCCAGAAACAAGGTACCACATTTATTAGAGAGGCAATTCAAAAGTTTCATCCAAAGACACCACAGGGAGTTCAGACTGTCAGCACTGATTTTTGGTCTGTAGAGAGAAGAGAAATTCTACCCTCTGCGTGTTTGTCATTGTTATGATGAGAAGTGTTGAATAGATAAATTTATTTTTTAGATGTATTCAAATGAATTCGAAGCTGAATGAAAGGCCGGCACATTCAGTCAGCCTCATGATCTGAGCTGCCTTAACCCTCTCCTTATGCCACACACCAAACTAGTATGCAGCACTTTTTTGAAAAATCATTCTTTAATTAAGCTGGCATTGGTATCCAGTATCATTAGTGACTGAGAACAAGCTCCTAATCCCAATACATTTGTGTTTATTCATCCAACCATCCCTCCATCCAACCATCCAACCCGAGGGAATTGTTTCATGCTGTAATGCGTCTCTGATGATCCTCTACAACGATAGCAAATGTTGCATCTGACGCCGTTGGTCTTTTGCTTCTGTAGCTGTGTCCAACTCATAGTTACATATTCAGAGCAATTATATGCCTGGTGATGGAGACGCAGGGTTGTGGTAACGATGGCAGACAGGCCAGTTCTCCGCCGTGTATCTGGACTAGGATTTAGGAGCCAGGGATGCAGTAAACAAGTAGGAATGCCGCAGGGTCGGTTCCTACACTGGTCCAGAATGATGAACACGCATTAGCCAAAGGCCACCGACCGCACATGGAGCTCTGTAGAAGTGTATAAGTGGAGGGAGTGCAAAACTACGCTTGATGGCGGCAGTGTGGAGTTGCTCTCCGGGCAGGTTGTTTTACCCTACAGGTAGCAGGTGTGTCTAGATTATGAAGGCTCCCCTGGAATACATGAGACATGTTAATGCACATATGGTTGTCCGCGGTGCAATAAATAATACGGTTGAATCGGCAGCGACGCTGTGCATCCGAAGCACTGAATAATACTGTGACATAGTTTCGATGAGGCTAATTTAATTTTTCTCTTTTTCCCCTGGTCCCTCTTTTTCTCCTCTGTGTCTCAACAGCGGCAGATGGTGAGGAGCCAACTTCAGCAGGTGGGAAATTGTTATGCTCGGTAACGTGATTTCCTTTCATTTGTGTACGTGTGTGTGGGCGTGCGAGTGAGAGAGAGAGAGAGAGAGGGGGAGAGCGGTTTTTAAATCTAAACCACGCCCCCTCCTCCCTTCATTACCATTGCTAATTTTTATATCAGCTCACTGATCGTGCTTGGTCAGCAGCACTCATGATTCTATCATTTGGTAGTTCAGTCCACACTTCAGTCCTATTTAAGCCTCTTATAATAGTGCGACTTGCGAAATGGCTCGTCTTTGTCTGGCGCTGCTATGAGATGGTTTTCAGAATATCACAGACCAGTTCAGCCCTGCCGCTGCGTTACCCTGATTGCTTTTCTGAATGCCTGAGCGTGGTGCATAATTTCAATAGGTAATTGGCTCCTGGTGTGTGTTAGTTTTAACTTTACAACTCATTTGACGGTAGCATTAACACAGGTATTTCAACATATCAACAGTTTACAGTCTTTTATCTAAAGTAAATGCCTTGCGTACTTAAATGCATGCCGTTAGTCTGAATGCCGAGTAAAGTGTATCCAATGTATTCAAAGGCTTTTGTGTGGCGAAAAGTGTTTGTAATGAATAGTAAAGCAAATATTTTGTAATTATCATACAGAAACTTACAAAAAAAAACATCTTCCGTAGGGAAAATACGTATTCATTATTAAAATAACTAATGTGGTGAGAGTTTTATTACAAAGGCTAGACCACAGTGGGCACCAGTAAACAAGAACCTGATTTATCTTCATCAATGATATAATTAATATGTCACATCACATCCTTGGGAGGCACCACAACTGAATACAAGAATACTCCTTAGTGCATCTCCGGGATCTAATTGTCTTTATCAACGTTTCTTTCATCAATAGCAATATCTGCTGGTTGGTTTGAGGTCAAATGAGTTTAAATAAGAGATTTATTTAGATAAGACATAATACCCCACAAATCAAAGCAGTTTATTCTTGCTATGCTAAGTTTAGAGCAATCTCATACTCTACTGGGTCATTCAGAAAATAGGAACACAAACTCAAACGTGCATGTGTGCACAGAGACATCTAGTACATGCACTGCACACATTTCAGATAACAAAGAACAATAAGACATAAAATACATTAACAGATTCAAAAGTGACCCAAATTAGGTGCGGCTTGTGACCATTGACCTGAAACTTTACTCTTGAGAGGAAAGAGGACAGGGCAATGGGGAATGGCAAATTAGCCATGACAGGTTTCACAAATTCAACATTTTAGCTTCTTTTTCATAAGGAGTTACAGTTTATAATAGCATGAATATGTGCATTAAAGGGGACGATCTAAAGCACGTTTGGCCTGCGTCTCTTTAGCTCCTGTCTGGTTCTCTATGTCTATGTGGATTTGACACAACTTCAGTATAGTCTATGAATATTAGGCCACTATCTACATGGCATTTTAAGCTATGATAGGCTAAACATCAAAGAACATCAGATTACATTTTTGGAACAATAAATTAAAATGAAAATTGCTTGCATTTTTTTTCCAGGTTGAATCTTTTCTTTACATCTAGTGGCCTCATATTGTATCAAATATTCTACAAAAGGGAAATGTCTTCATAACAATGTCGGTAGCTTACTGCGTCTTTACCTTTTTGCTGCAGGAAATCCCATCAGCTCAAATAATATGACAAACCGCTATAAATGCACAGCAGTTGCATCATGCCAATGAGAACACAATAAGCTTAAAGGTTAAGTGGATAACCGGCAGTCCCTCTGCAGAATACAGATCAGGAGTCCTCCACTGAACAGGTTGCAGCCAGCCTCTCTCTGATTTTTTAAATTGTATTGAATCACGGCTAATCTGTCTTGCAATTACAATTTGGGAGCGCTCACAAATATTACAATCAAAAAAATTACTTTTGCCAGGTAGAAACAGATCAGCTCAGATATTTTTGTGGCATTTAGTCTTTGAGAAGAGAACGTCAATTTCTGCATTGGGCTCATTGTTAAGAACAGTGGTGATCCGCAGCGTGAGTTCTCCTTTTGGATATTTATTTCACATATTCTTAGCCATTTTGTTTCTGCGTGATTTCCTACTTCTTCCAACTCAAACTACATTTTTCTGACATTATCAAAGGATAATGGGCAGAAATGGCAGAGTGGCAAGGGCACAGGAGAATAGGAGGCCAATGACTCACTAAAAGCATGAACGTACAGCGGCTCACGCTGTAATATTGGCGGTGCGGTGCCAACTTTCATCAGTCGAGGTGAAGGATGGACGCAGTGACCATGAGTCTGTGAACCAGTGAAGCCGGCATGGAAAGCTCGCCTGGATTAAAATAGATTTGACACAATTAGGGCATGTCAGATTTCTCTGCCGGGTGCACATTCGGAGCCAAAAGAGCTTCAATGTAGGTTTCAACCTCGAGGCAGGTATTTTATTTAAGATTTACTCAAATGTTACCTCAGAACTTTGGAACTGGCAATTTAATATTATGGTTATCTTTGAAAGCCTATTAAATTATCTCCTTTTGAAGTCAAGGCTTCTTTTTTTTTGTAACTGAGGAAGTGTTGCTAAGTCTGAGATAGTGTCGCTCAGTAGAGAGGTCAGCGGCCAAATCAATAGCAGATGCTTGTTTGTATTTAGTAAGGGTACTAAATGCACTTTGGCTACCTCACCCACGCCACTTGGATTCAACGTTATTAAAAATATTCTATAATCCTTTGTCCGAACTCCTCGTGACCCCAACCAACACAGAGGAAGCAGTAGCAACTCTGCTTTCCTTTTCCCAGTGAAAATAGCTTTTTATAGAGGAATGTGTTCTCTGAGTCTCTCCCCTAGATAATTGTATCCTTCTTATGAAATCAAGTGTCTGAAATAATATGTCTACAGCTTTGGGGCGGGGGCTGGCGGGGTTGCTGCCGACTGTGTTGTGGACGGACGGCGTGCACCGCCAATGTTACAAACACTGTGTGCAGTGTGCCGTTTTTAAAAAGGCCGGTTTATACTGTTAACTTTAATGTAATTAGAGTTCGCTCGTGGATTAACAAATGAGCTAACGTTTGGGACGTGTAGCTTTAACCTTGAAAAAGTCAGACCTCTGTGATTGATCTTCAAGGAAACAAAGGATGCTTCCCTGTGTTTAACCATTGGTCCGCTCTTCACAGCTGATTGATTGGACTTTCTTTGCAGCCAGAAAAGAAATCACGGCGCTGTAGCGGCGAAACACAAAATGGGCTCGCATCAATCACCGAGCGAGTGCTGGCTTGTACGGCGGAGCAGCAGCTGACATTCGCACACCAAAGCTGCCAGTGTTTCCTCCAGACATGAATCACGCAGACATGCATCAAACAAGCTGCATGCTGAGTGGGGGGAGCATCTGTTGACGGCGTTACGAGATATCCTAAAACCCACTCAATGAACCCCTCCCCTTGAAGATCCCCTCTGGAAGAAATTTACACATAATGGATAAACCCTTGAATTGGAAGCCAGGTATTTTTGTGGTTGTGAATGCCATCTAGTCAGTAATTAAAACTAGACTTTGGCATCCACATATTAATGTGTTTTGTTTATTTTTTCAAATCTCAACCCTTTGAGGATATCATAGTGTCAAAAAGCAATCAGGAATGCTGTTTTCCTACTTCCAATGTTGGTTTGCATCCTCTCAATCAATCTTTATCAATCAGTCTTTGATATGAAGATTACTTTTTAATCTTTTTCATCATTTTATATCTAAAGATAAATTCACGATTTAAATCTACCCTGCATACAGAGCACACTCTTTTGTATGTCTTTCTGCAAAACTCCTTTCGTCCTTGTTTTTTATTCTGCTTTATTCGCTCTACATTAGGGAGGCTGTCAGCGCGCCTTGCTCTCACCATAGATCATTACGTCAAAACAGCCCTAGAACCTGTTCTCCCCCCCCTCCAACCCACCTCAGAGAGCAGGTCCTCTGTGAAAGCTATTATACGTTTCTCTGTTCAACTGATTAGCCACCTCTCTCATTATTACTAATACAGGTCCTGCCTTTGAAATTGGATGACTTTTATAGGATTAACTCCTTGTGAAATGCAATTTATTACCAAAGAGAGAACGACGATAATAAGCTTGCTAGTGGTGTTTATGAATTTCTTTGTTGACTGAGATGCTTTCTAGTCATACAATTTCTGTGTTGGGGCTGAAGTCTTAAATGGGGAGGAGATGATGTAGTGTCCAATCCAAGGACGCACCTGTTTACTAGACGTTGTCAAATGTTGTGCTCACGGCTTTTCTCGTTTCTCAAATTGACTTGGGAGGGCATGATGAGGGCGTCCTTGAGACGTAATAAGAATATGTCAAAGATACGTCAAAGCACAGTTTATCTGTTGTTTAAAAAAAATAAGTCTAGAATAGAAATTCGATCGAGAGACAGGCAGCTTAAAAAAAATGCTTTAAAAAAGCAAGTTTGTTTTTCATCTTCTGGTTCTTTAGTCAACATACTTTTTCAAGCTTCAAACTGACCACAGGTGCTCACAGAGACCACCAAACGTTCTTCTCACATCCTCTTAACGTTTAACATGGGCTCTGGAAAGGTTTTCATTAATAGCCGACTGCTAAAGTTTTTCCATCCAATATGAAACCACAAAGTTTTGACAGCACTCGAGGCAGTCGAACAACTCAATATTTAAAAGATGAGACAGCTATTGGCAGGAACCTGAGTCATCAAACCAATAACCTCGCGTCAAGGCCTCGCCATTTGCATTCAGCCCCACTCTTGCGGTTGATCCCAGATCCATTTCGGAGGGCAGTAATATGACACCATGTTGTGGGCACTGCGGATTAAGTAATATAGTGTGGTGTAATAACTTTAACCCAATGCTGTTCTGATCACCATTGGTCCTAGATATAGAATGACAGACAGTGCTCCTCTGAGTTATTAATCATTACCAGCGGAAATTTGGAGGTTTTATTTTTTATGGATATTCTTTTCTCTGCCAAATCTTCAAATCGTGAACTCACTAGCAGCTGCAAAGCTACTCAATGAGTTTTATGAACGTTCTGCGGCTGCAACACAAGCACCCTTAGATTTTCAGTAGGAATGCTGCTGTTTTTATCAATGTTATGAAACAGCAACATTTGGAAACTTGGACGGAGGCCGATACTCAGTTATTTGAGGCATGAGTACACTTGAGTTGCAGCACAGCAAAGTAAGAAACAGAACTACCAGCAAACACTTAATGAAAACTATGCAAAAACAGACACATTCATACACGATTAAAAGCCCTTCTTGAGTACACATTTTTATTAATTAAGTAAATAGTAGTATTCTGTATTCTTTGCATAATTTTCCTACTCTGTGAACTTTCCTATTAAACAGCGAAGGTGATGATAAAATCATGGTTGATTAAAGGAGCTGCACTGTAACATGTAACCTTGTTAATCTTCACTAGTCGAAGCATTTTGTTAGAGTTCAGTTATACAAACCCACCTAGAAGCCAATAAACACAGTTCCAGCATGTGCCCTAAATACACAGCACCTTGAGAGAATTCATTTCTCTACAACTAATCTTATTCATTTTTTATTACTTACTCAAAGAAATCACATATTGGCGTTATGTCCCTCTGCAGTATTACAGTATTGGCCACTATTTGTTAAGAAACCATTGAAGAAGAACACCAAATAGCAGCACCAGTGGCAGGAGGTCAGTTATTAATTATCCAGCTGGCCTGTGCTCACACCCAGCAGAGCAGTAAAGGTCTATGCAGCCACCCAAGCAAATACTGCTTTGCTCTGTGGAATAATCCACTATTGACCAATGATCACGTAAACTGAGCTGTGTATATCTAGAGAGATTTGTCTGTGTCTGTTGTGTATTTCAATCGTGTTGTCATGACACAATTGTAAATATTTCTTTAGCCTGTGCCTTGGGCTTCTCTCCAAACCACAGAGACCAGCAACAAGCAGCGAATACCCCCCCGTCATCTTCAGCTCGCCAATCAAACTGGTGTATTCACAAGGTCCAGCTCAGGGTTATTTATTGATTCATTCAAATGGACCGGCAAGGTCCACTTTTGATTTATATAGATTGACATGACTGGCTTGGTGAGGTTGTGTAGAAATAGCAACATATGTCTGTCCTCATGACAGGGCTCATTTTATTCATGCTCATACTGAAACAACACCAGAGCAAATGAGTTGCTTGGAACATTGCGTACTTGTATACACAATAAATCAGAAAGTAATAGTTGAAGCTCATTAAAGCCTCATGGCTTTGACAGACTTTAACACAAAACTGACTTTTTAATTATTTTTTTGCGTCGTAGGCCCTTGTCATCCAAATCCTTGCCACAACAGAGGAACGTGTGAGATCAGCGAGACCTACAGGGGAGACACCTTCATTGGTTACGTCTGCCAGTGTCCACCGGGCTTCAGTGGAGTTCACTGCCAACACAGTAAGTTTAACCACCTTCTCTCCATGCCTTGAAAAAAAAGAGGGGTACACCGCTACATCTTTTTCAAGTAAAAGCACTGAGAACTTGTCAGTATGGGGGGGAGGGGAATACTCGTGGTTGGGGGGACAGGAAGGCTTTGGGTGTTTTTCCTCTGCAGAGTAAAGGCGGGGAAGTCCAGACAGGCAGGGCCTGCGACGGGAAACCAGTCACAGGGGGAATGCGGCTAAAGTGAAGCATAATGTGGAGAAAAATCTGTCAGCGAGTGAGTGACTCGGTTTTAAATACAGAAGAGAGTGAGAGCAGTAAGGTGGACAGGTGAGACTGATTGGGTAGACAGGTGAGAGTGATTGAGCGGACGAGGTGGATGTGACAAGCAGTTGCACTGAATAAACTGATAATGAGAATGGGGGGGGGAGCTGAACTGTGACAGAAGTGAAGTTTGTCCATTTACCTTGAGCAGTGAATACATGAGGTGACAGGAAGTGAATCACTTTTTAAAAAGACTAGTTAAAGTATAGTAGGTTTGGTGGAGAAAAGAATAGCCGATCTGGAGCTATTTTGTTGTGCGTGTTCTTAATAACAGTTGGTACAGCGGTTTACTGTGTACAGTAACAACAAGGATCGGCCATTGGGAGATGTTTTGCTCTTTAAAAATGTCAAGTGTTTCTTTCTAGAGCCGACACTTTTTTACTGTTCTTACCAGTTTTGAGACAATTTCACAGCAGTGTCGATGCTTTCTTATGATGGTACTGCAGATGATTTCCTCTACCAAAAAAGTCTGCCAGGGAGTGAAGCGTGTCAGTTGATTTTTAGTTCTATATAACAAGCGTAATGAACATCAGCAGGATTAGCATAATAATATAATAATCTTGCTTTAAAAATCTTAATCTTTTGAATAGATCCAGGCATTTGAAAAAGGGAATAAAGCTCTTCGTATCGTAAGTGCTAAATCTTGCTTAGTTCTGCAGAATGAAGAATAGTCGCTGCCATGTGTGAGCGTGTGCCTCACTGAGCATTGCATTAGCTTGCACGACGCAGTTGTCCTTCATTCCAGCACAGGTGTGCTTCTAAGTAATGGATTAAATGTATCATGGCGCAAACTGTGTTGTGAGATCGATCCTTATGAGAGAGAGAGAGAGGCGTTAACCAGTGCTTACAAACCATTTATCTCGGTCTTATAACTCTTAACTCTAAACTAGAAAAGAGGCCTTTTTTGGGGGGGGGGCGTCTGTTTCAGGCATTAATTATTGTCATACATATTTCCTTCTATTTGAATGAAAAGCCACAAAACATAAAATCAAATGGAGCGAGTTGCTATATCGACAACATGTTATTGGGGTTGTCTCCGGCCTGAATTATGATCAATTGCCTTAAATTCATGTCATAATTTATTCATTATTTCCTATTAAGCCCTGAGGGCGGTGAGACAGTGGTTTGGTTTGGGCTGAATACGCATTAGTGTTTGCCAGTTTTCTTCTCACCTTCATTGAATCAAAGACAGTGGGTGTCTGAGAGAGAGGAGGAGGGGGGGGGGGGATTCAGTTGATAATCAGATCTAGCTTATGAATGATTCCTGCAATTAAATGATAAAGGCTTGCTCATAATTGCTCTTTTAAAATGACAGCTTCAAATGGCTTTGTTATGGTATGGTTTTAATGGAAAGAAAGCTCACTCAAATAGATATAAATGAGAATAAAACATTTGTTGGATACAAGAAACAAAAAATGGGTATTTAACTCCTGCTGAATCTTAATATATGTGATATTCTCATGAATATCACAGTTGTCTAGGTGCATAACTATTTGAAGATGTTCATAACTTCATAACTTCTTAATGTACTGCCTCGTGAATACTATGAATTCATCCATACATGAATCAGTCCACTGACCAACAGGATGAATGACTACCTGGAATCATTTCTAAAAAATGTAAGCAACAAACCTTTTTCTCAGCACACAGTATTCAGTATAAATTGGATTCAGGACTGAGGCATTTTGTAGGATTTCCCTTCATCTCATGTGATATCTAATCCTTTGTTTTAAATCGGTGCCGGCCCACATACATGTTAGCTTTTGTACAAACCGTACAGATGCAACACAACATCTGCGAGAGACAGCCCTGGCTTTGACTGTTGCTCTTACTATCTCCCCGCTCAGTCAGTGCCAAATCCCATTTCACACCTGTGAACATTATCCTAAACACATGCACTATCCCGCCTGTTAGACCAGCTTTATGAGGCACTGCCAGGAACGTTGTCGACCATGGAGCGCTGGAATATGTGAGCGCTCTTCTAGACTTCTTTGATGAGCGGATGATGTATGAACTCAACGTTGTTTGGTTTCTTTTTTTTTGAGCGCAGCCTTCAATGACTCATCTTGAGGTGTTGAGATTTCTATAATGAGGGCAGGCGTCGGATAGTCGTAGCTGAAGGTGTTGACACGGTGTGCAGTCACAGCGGCCATCAAAGTTGTTTTTTCAGTCAGCTACTTTTTATGCAGTGGGATTTGATTAAATATTGCTTAACTACAGAGGTGTGTGTTGCTTGTTGCATTTATAATGTGTTTGTGGAAAATTATTTAAGCTTTAGCATTGGTTTAATAATGTGCTATTTAAACAAAGGTGAATACCGTTTTATTACCAGTTTTAAATTGGTTTTACAAAGTCCAAGTCGGATGAATGTCACCACACAGCCTTATTATTACTCCCTTTCAAACAGTGTGGCTTCATGTACCAGTGTTGAGTAGTTGAGTAGCATGCTGATGGGCCAGTAGCCAAACATTGTATTGACCTGTCACATTGTGAATACTGGGACTGATTGCATCAGTCGTCATGAGGTTGCAGATCACATTTAGGGCACATTGTTGTCACCCTATCAAGAACAAATCAAGTATAAACTGTCTTGTTTTTGTGAACCAAAAATCTTCCACATGGACAACCTTCTACAGCATTTTATTTTAATCTGAGGCCGTAAAAGTAAATCTTATTTTTGAAATTTGCAGTTTAGATACAGAGATATGTCGCCCCGTTTTCTCTTTGAGTTGTAAAAGCTTGATTGAAATTTCAAAGACGTTGGTAGGAGCCAGTCGGTTCAGGCTGTTGGTTACTGAAACATCACTCATCATACCAGTTAAAACAACCAGCAAAGTGTATTTGGCTGAATGATCTCTGGGATGATTAGTGTTCGGTTTCAAACTCCTTCTCTTTCCATCCTTGCTTGGCCTGCAAGTCCCTGTAGCGGATTCAGACTTTATCTCTGATCAATATGTGTCTGTGCCTTTCTTTTTGAAACACTGCAGCAGCACAGGACTGATTGATGCTAAATGTAGGATGTATGAGGTATTTTTCAAAGCTTGGCCCTGTATTTGATCATGAATTGACAGATGCTTCCTCAGCCTCCAGCCACAGGAAAAGACGCTGGTGGTTGTGACTGTGTGTAAGAAAGAGCCTCCAACATGACTTACTGTGGTTCCCCACTTAGCGTGCGTTGCTGGCCTGTTTATTGTGTTTTGGAGGTGAAAAGGAGCTACACAGTGGCACCTAAGTGTCCTTTTGCTAGTTTATTTCCACTAGGCTCCCAGACACTTTGCGTTGACTCAGGTTTGTATGGAGGGTAAGCGATGGGAAGAGAGAGATCTCACTTATGTTCCGGTGGCATCTGTTTGATAGACACCAGCACTACAGCCCAAAGCAACACAAATAACTATCGGAAGGACATTGTTTGTGTGCATCTGAATCCTTTGACATTTGACTAAAACAATACAGTGTATCTGTCTGGTACAAGGCGCTGGCAGAGCTGCCAGTTTCTCCCAGCACCCCTTTCCACCCTCGTGAGCACCCACCACTTTACCAGCGGTGGTTACCTGCACCTCTTCAAGCGGGAAATAACTTGCCCTCTTCCAACTTTCCACTGCCTGCAGGAGGTGACTTTGTAGTGATGGAATTCCTGTTAGCTGACGTATCTGCCATTGCTCCAACGGAGGACGGCAGGTGGGGTGGAAAGAGATTGGTGGGCTCTCCTTCTTACTGTGAGGCTGCATGGGTAATGTCACGGTAAAGGCTGCAATGAAGCATGCTAATTACCATCCTCTTTTGTAGCCGTTGTTAAATGTTTATCTTTTTTTTTTTTTTTAACAGCGTTTTTTGAAAGACCGGTATGCTTACACGCAGTAAAAATTGATACAAAAGCTGATTACATGGTTTGTTCCATGAGCATGTATCAAGACATGCTATTCAGCTGCCCTTATGACCCTACAGTGTCAAACATGGGGACTAAATGGGTATTTGTTAACCGCTACTGTTCTGTTACTGTTATTTTGGAGAAGGGATGAAAGTTCTGAACCCTTAAAGCAAACTCATATTTCCAGCAAATTAGCTTGCAAATTGCCACCATTTCAGCTTCCTTTTCATCTCAGCAGTAAAGCTCCACAGTGTTTTTGCTATTTTGTTTATACCCCTGGGGACAAGTTGTTCATCTACTGAAATCCGCTAACTGTCTTGGATCATATGAGCAGTACAGCTAAATTGTGTTTCAGGGTGTAGGTTTCCGGGGCAAGCTTAGCTAAATGGATTAGCTAGATCAATTTAAGTACAACTAAAAGTTAGTGAGAGAAAGTTTGTTAGAAAAAAAACTTTTCCGCGGTGAAAAGGTTGGAAGGAGTACTTAGACCACAGAAACTTAACCTACTTTCAAAATAACTAGAGACGTCGCATTAGTCAATTTGCTTAAGGTCAGTACTGTGAGGTATAAATCTTCTTTGTTTTAACAGCCCCTGGGTTACAGGAAATTATGCTAATCTGCAGACCTTTTTAAAATAAACGCATACATTATCACGGATAACTTAAAATCAGTTACACTGGTTTGGTCTTTCATAATGATGTATACCTATTAAAAAAATATTACACTCATTCCGGTCTTTTATTTGGGCCAAAAACGTACATAACATCTAACAGCATTTCAGTAGTATTTCTTCAGGAAATTCCTCCAAAACCTCCCATTGTTT